GTTGTTTTATTGAGTATCAGGTTGCATATCTTATATCAATGAGTTCCACTATAAGCACCATCATGTAGCTGATGGTGGTCACTTTTTTCATGTGAAAGTCTTGTATTTGGAAGCAAAGAAAAAGAATTGAGATGAAGTTCCTAAGTGTCAACAATTCTGACGCTGACCACAATCTCCTGTTCAATAACACTTTCTGAATCCCAACCAATAGTAATAGAAACACAACATGGTATGGAAACAAAGTTATTCTTCTATTTGTTCAATTTTTGTTGAGGAAACATTGCTCTCGGTAAAATAGTGGTTATATCCTCGTGTTTCGCGCACAATAGTTGGGAATAGGGTTGTGATTGGGGTCAATATCAAAAAGAAATATATCCGTGTGCGACATGCGAGGATGTTACCAAATTGTTTCGTATAAAGGTCCAGACACACCGGACGCAATTCGACAACGCGACGCGATTTTTTAGTTTTTGAAAGTTAATAAAACAGCCAATGAGAGCAAATTTTGAAAGATATGTAGACCAAATAACTCAAAATGTTACACCGCTTCTAAATACTTGGGAAATTTAAACTAGAATCAAAGTTATTGGTCAGTGAAAATCGAAAAACAACGCGATTGAATTGCGTCCGGTGTGTCTGGACCTTAATGCTTGTTCTTGTTTCCATATAAAGCCGGTTTTTCCACTAAGCGGAATTTTGCGCGCGAAATGGAATTTGTCTTTGTCGGGTGGGACTAATTAGAATTAAAGGACAAAGAAAAATTCCGTTTCGTGCGCAAAATTCCGCCTAGTGGAAAACCGGCTTAACGCTGGTTTTGTTTGCGTATAACGCTGGTCCTCTCCATGTTCAATTTCTATTTTCCCTGCAGGCAGCGTATTCATATTATTTTTCATTTACACAAGGTTTGTGATCACTTCACGTCTAAAGATACTTTTATATTCATAGCACCAAGTTCAGCAACCAGATACCGGAAGACATAGGGCAAAGAGAGCACTTTTATATCTTCGCTAGTTTCACAAATTTTACAACTCCATTTCCGCGTGACATTCGATGCAACTGCAGCCATTTCTGATGCAGGTTTGTCAAAGATTGGTGAGAGAAGACTTCCACACTTTACACAAACATGACCCTTGAAAGTAAAGATAAAGTTTGGAAACTGAAGCTCCGTGTTCAGCGCGGCTCACAAAATCACAAAGTCTACCGTATTTACTCGTTTAAGCACCACTCTTTAATTATACCTTTAGTGTTTTGGATACGGCGCTTATTTGAGGGTGGTGCTCTTCGTGAAATATCTTATTTTTATATACGATAACAGGAAATGTTATTAAAAATTGCAATTCCGTGGGCTTCTCAAACAATTCTGTTGGAGAGACTAAACACTCCTGAGTGTACGAGATCATGAAATCATATGATTTTTTGTTCATGTGTTTCTTTTTTATTTTTTGTGATTTTTAAAATTTTTTGTCTTGTGATTTTTTTTTGTGAAGGTGTATTGTGATTTGTCCCTCGATTCTGTCAGACGGTGCTTGGACGGCGCTTAATTAATCGAGGTGAGACGGTGCTTGGACGGCGCTTAATCGAGGGCAGCGTCAATTGAGTAAATGCGGGAAGCACGCGGGAAATGAACTAATAAACTAAAGAGGGTCTTCATAAGTTAAGTGGCGTCTACTAGACAGAGGCGTTTCTTATTAAATACGGCAGTTGAAAGGCTATTTTCCACTCATCACAAAAACCATATCCAGGGCATTTTCTGTCACACTCGGATGCTACGGTCACCTGATATTGGCATTTTTCGCAATTTCCATCTACAAAAATCCTTCAACGTTCTGTTCTGTGAAACGAGATACCTACATTCTAGAATATGCATGTAAAAGGGACCTACCACAGAACGATCTGAACAGTCCATCAATCTGTCTTGTAACAAAAATGAAGTACCATGAGCAAGCAAGGCATCTCGTTCCATTTCACCAAATCGAATACCTCCTTGTCTTTTTCTTCCTTGCACAGGTTGATGGGTAAGACTGTCTATGGGACCAGTCGCTCGCACCTGAAGACGAAAAAATAACTTGGTTAAGTAATAGGACCGTTTACTTATTTATTAATTTGCCTTCAATACACTTATACACAATTTTGGCAGGGGATCCTCAAGTAGTAGAATCTACCAAATATGACATCGGAATTTTGTATACAATTTTGCTTTTATAAGACTTGTACTATTATCACTGATGAAGATCCGGTCTGACGGATCAAAAGTTTTGCAATAGACCCTAACAAGAAATCGAGTTAGGGTCTGCGATATAGGCTACCAACATATAAGGTCAATGTCAGAGTGTAGATGCAATCATTTTGGAAAGTTATCACTACAAATGGTTAATATAAACCTTAGTGGCGACATGCTCACCATCAGATGACACGCAAATATTATCTCATCACTCATTGATATTGTTGACTAAACTAACTTTACTGATACTGAATAGCTGTGCTAGTTCTGTACAACTGTTCTCTCTACAGAGTAAATAAGAGTTTAATTGGGAGCTAAGATTTTCCACTAGGAGTGGGATTTGGAAAATCAGTGGGTAGTCTAAGAACCCAGACCTAATTTCTGATGCCAAGCGAAGAATGAACGTGGGAAATGACGTCAGGATTCACAGACTAACCAGAGTGACAAGGATTTCGACAAAATATCGGCGATGAACAAAATTGGGTTCACGACCTTCCCTTCACAACCCTTGGTGGTTTGCAATCAATTCTTAGCAATCAATTCTATGACGGCCATGTTTAAGGAAAACACGCTCCAAATACATTAGCTGCTATAAATGAAATTCTTTTCTTAGCGTTCTTCCAAATGGCCGCCATGATGTCATGTGCAAACCAAGAATCGAGATCTAGTTGGGGAAAAACTGATGTGTGTGGCAGACTCAAAATAGAAGCACTTTTCTCACAGGAGGTTTATACAATCACGAAATCATAATCAGGCAAGTGCATATCACACAAGTTGAACCATATAGTAGTACGTTAAAACACCGTTATTTACAAAAAGTGGGCATGAGTACAGTACACAATCTATTTAAACTGTATGTTGCAAATAAATTTCGATTCATCTTCAGCAGTATATTTACAAGATATGGCGAATATATATAATACAGGGGCCGGTTGTTCAAAAGACGATTAGCTTAACCCTAGGTTAACCTAAAATTCAAAGCAAACTTTCCAACAGCTTGGTTATAAATTTGGAAATATTTCTTCAGAAATCTTGTCTGGACCAATGAAAGTTTTCTTCTCTGAAGTTTTGAAACAAATAGATGTGCAGAAATACATAAACTAAAACAGCAGGTTAAAATTTAACCCAGGAATAGCGCTAATCGTGCTTTGAACAACCGGCCCCAGGGTGTCTATAAAAAAACGCAATGAAAATTCAACAGGCTGTCGTGCATCATAAACGTGGCTAAACAATTCAATTTTTACATAGGACAAAAGATTAGTTATTTAGCTTTTCAATGATACTCTTTTTAAATCACAACGATGAGAAATGGTCACATACTCGCCAAATAAAAACTGTCGGTCCAAATCACATTATCCCACTGTTGGGAATTGCATGGAAAACGAAACATAGACATTCCCAAGAGAGAATTAAAATTGAATGTTAAATTATCTAAAATGAGCTCAACTCGTCAATCTTCGTCTTAGTGAGACAATAAGAACGTCTATTAAACATGGTTCAATTAACCACTGATGAGAACATTCGTATATAATCAAAAGTTTTACGAAACAAATAGCTTGCCTGAGCAGACTCTCGTTGCTTTTGGATTGACGAACTTTGCATAATTAATGTATTTTCAATTCCCAACGGTGGAAGAATGTGATTTCGACCGGCAATTTTTATTTGCCGAGTATGTGGCCATTTCTCATTGTTACGATTTAAAAAGAGTATCATTGGAAAGCTAAATAACAGTTCTTTCTTCCTACGTAAAAATTGAATTGTTTAGCCAAGTTTATGATGCACGACAGCCTGTTGAATTTCCATTGCGTTTTTTTAGACACCCTGTATAATACGACATGATATGATATGATAGATACTGTTCCATATTTTCATCTTGTAAATATACTGCTGTAGATGAATCGAAATTGATTCGAATATACAGTTTAAAATTATTGTGTAGTGTATTCATGCCCACTTTTTTCGAAATAACATTAGTTATATTTTTCTGTGTTGGTGTAATCTACTCAAGTGAATATGATGCTTGTAATGTTACTCTGAGTGCATATCCACACCGGGCAAAGCTTGAAAAATATGCCTGACCACGGTGGAAATCGAACCTACGACCTTTGGAATACTAGCCCAATGCTCTGCCAACTGAGCTACGCGGTAGGAGCTACTGATACTCGAACCGACCTGACCGCGTAGCTCAGTTGGCAGAGCATTGGGCTAGTATTCCAAAGATCGTAGGTTCGATTCCCACCGTGGACAGGTATATTTTTCAAGCTTGCCCGGTGTGGATATACACTCAGAGTAACATCACAAGCAACATTAGTTATATATCTGCTGAACATAACACCGCGGAAAAACGTCTGCGCATGCGTCAACCTTACCTGTAATAGTATTGCGAAGTTGATGAGAAGCTTTTCAGAACGTTTCCGAAGGCTCAAAATGGCGGGAAAAAGGAGTGACTTCATTGTGCGTCTTTACAGCCAGATTTCGAGCGCAAAAATAAACATGTCATTCTAAAAACTAGGAATAAATACAGCCAGAAGGTTCAAGAAATTGTATTGTACAAGAACATAAACTAAAGGTGATTGTTGACAAATTTATCGTCTGAAACATTTTGTTTATCAACTAAGCAACGACAATTTCTGAATTTTCGTTTGAGATACATTTCTTTAAAAAAAACTGTGTCGCCAAATATAAAAAAATTTCGTGTTCACAATAATTAAACTTTAGGATTTATTCTACAATTTGAGTGGGTTAAGAAGCTTAACTTTTCGAGAGTTTTCTTAACTTTTGAGTTTGAATTTTTGTTTTGAATAATTTTGCAAAAATTTTCGAAGTCGTGTCCGTTAAAATCAACAATTTTTTACATGAATTATATTTCATTCCATACTTTAAATGCCAGGACGCTTTCAATTAATGTCTAGTCTACCCATTTGCTATATTTTCTCGTTTGTTTTACTAATTTTTGACCAATTAATAAGCATGTTTTTGTTTTAGAAATTGATATTCAAATTCCCCGCCATATTTTCATAATTTGGTGCATGCGCAGACGTTTTTCCGCGGTGTTGCTGAACATATAAAGGATTCTTGAAACACTGACTGAACATGCGCAGTAATCGTCAACCCTCCGCTCAGTACGCACCTGATATTTATCTGAGACCATATGACGTAGTCGTTGATAATAAACTATACCAAAGAATATATCCGCCTCAAATTCTTTCCCTGTTATACCACTATAAAGTCTTTCTGTGCCAAAATAATTGTAGCCAGCTAAACAAAAAAAACATTTAAGAGAATCTTTAGTGATTGTCCCTGCATATTGAACTCGAAAAGATTCAGAGCATCAATATAGCATGCCGTTTCGTGCAACAGTATGCCAAATTTTTTTCAGGTTGTGTACGGAAGATATTTTAGGTATAAAGACATAAGCACAGCATGTTTGTGATGGAATCGAATAATAACTTACAAGGAATTCCATGTCGTAGATCAATGACTCCCAAATAAAATTTTAGGTTTCTTCAATGAACTTGCCTCAACTTACCTTCTATTAACATTTTCCCAAAATAATCAATAGCAGAATTATCTTCAGAAAACGTGAATGGCGTTGCATCATGCACTAAACCATGCATACTCGCTGACTTCCCCGCCATACTTTCAATCATCATTCCTATACGGAAACGAAGTGAATATCAAAGAGCTAATGATTTACGAAGAGTTCGGCTTTCTTCAAGACGCAATCCTATTCTAAGACATTTTTAAGGAGAACTTATATGGGTACATTTTCCTATTAACATCCTCAGGTGAAATACACAGATTTCGTCCTTAAACTGTTTACAATTCTTGCATTCTCGATCGCAACTCTATATCCTTAACAGGGCCGCCGAGAGCTTGGCGGGGGCCTGGGGCAACATTTTTAGGGGCCTCTATTTCAAAAATTTATCCGGAAAAATTTTTTTTCGGACAACAACTTTTCCGGACGAGTACGATGTAATTGCTTTACAGAGACTTTACCTCAATTTTTCATACCAAATTTCGTTAGTTTGCCCAAAAAAACAAATATCTTGCCCTTTGCGCGGAAATATTTCTTCCGAAAAAATGACTGGGGCCCAACAAAAAATTTCTAGGGTGGGGGCCCGGGGCAATTTGCCCCTCCCCCTGCCCCCCCCCCCTCTCAGCGGCCCTGATCCTTATAAATCTCTAACCTTGAAATAAAACGTCACCCAACTTATCCTATCTGCACTGTAAAACATTGTTTGAAAGTATTTTCTACTTGAAGGACAGCGATGATATATTACAGTTTTTCTTCACGTCCGCGCCGTAGATTTGGTGCATCTTATATATAAGCTCGCTAATATATACAGAATTAAGGACTGCATTACTTTGTATTACCATTAGCCTACTGCTATGGCAACTAAACCTACATACCGCCTTAGACAAAGTTACTGTAGACATTACCCAAACTAAGAAACCACAACATATACAAATTTCGTTAAGTTTATCTCCAGAAAAACGAATGCATCTTCACAATAAATCATCTGGATTGGCAAGGAGAGGAGTAGGTCGTGTTGAAATAAAATCTCTTACCTATGGTCATACGAGATGGAAAACCGTGAGGATTAAAAATGATATCTGGCGTCATTCCTGATTCAGAGAAAGGCATGTTCTCCGCTGGCCACTTTTGACTATCAAAGAATAATAATAAAATTATATGAAATAAAAGAAACGGAACAGAGGTCAGTTGCAAAAATGTTCTGGCGTATATTTGAATGTACCGGTATATACTACAGTATCCCATAATTGTATACAATGTTGGGTTTAACTCAACAGAACTTATAGTTCATCAGAGTAGTAAAACCCCCCCATCTGGAGACCAAAGGGATGCCGCCAATGACGTCACGCTGCTCCGAAAGTACTTAGTATGCAAAATATGTGACGTAACTTTGCTGGCCCTAACCCTAACCCTGGGCCAGGTAGCGCGACCAATTAACGCGGGCAGGCCTGGGCCAACTGTGACAGGTAGCGCGACCAATTAACGCGGGCAGGCCTGGGCCAAATGTGGCAGGCGATCGATTAGCATTACAATAGAGTAATGAGATCAATTAGCGGCACAAAACAGTAACGCGACCAAACAAATTACCAGAGATTATAAATATCGTGTTTCGAACACACGTTTCATTTCTCACTGTTGCATTTTGGCGAGTGGTCTCTGGTTTTCTCTGATTCTCAAGTGTTGTCTGGTGGATTGCGTTGGATTGTTTTTTAAAATGGCTCATTCGGTAAGGAAACGTAGCGTTTTGAATATATGTTTACGATAGTTTCAGAGTCATAGGCTGGATAAAATTTGTTTTTGAATATATGTTTACAATAGTTTTAGATTAATATGTTTATGATATTTCTAGATTAATATGTTGGATCTTATCAAAGCTTGTGAAGCTGAAAGTGAACTCGACTTTCTCCAAGAGTCGTTTGTGCTTACTGATGAGCAGAAGGAAGCTATTCTTCAACAGCGCATTATATTTTGGACGAACGCGATGGCCGAAGATATTGAACGAGAGAATCCGGTTGGAGTTGACCCTGATATGATGGCAAACTGGACCGAGGATCAACGTCGCCTGTTCAACGAAGACTGGGCCAATGATGATGGTTTATGCGAACTCGAACAGATGCCAGAACCGCCACAAAACCAAATAGGTGAAGGGAGCAAGCGAAGGCACGCCAGTGATCACGCCCCCTCAAAACGCCAAAGACCAGAGGAGTATTTCACTATTAAATCAGCCAAGCAAGTCAACGTGAGGAAATTCAGGACGACAGGTACACATTAAACTGTTTTTATATTTTTAAGCGTAACATCGGCTACGTGTGGGATATAAATTGTTATGTGCGAGTGAGGTTTCGTTTTTATTAGGCTCCATTTACACTATACCGGATTGCTATCGGAGTGGGTCAAATTTTGTAGGTATCCAAAGGTTGTGAAGATTTTTAATCTCAGAGCCCCAAATAAACATGCCAATTCTGTCAAACTAATAAGCATTTGCTACTAGCCAATGCTCCGTAACGGCAAAAGAAGATGTAGTGACCAGCGAATCCGGTATAGTGTAAACCGGGGCTTATAAGAGTTGTGTTTATTGCTTATATGTACATCTGTAGTTGGCTGTACGAAGGATGTCCAACAAGTTATCTTTTTATAAATGGTCATAACTCTCAAATGAAGCTTACAGGGCTTACGATTTAAATTGTAGCTAAATTTTTCAAATAGCACAATCCGGTAAATAGCGAACTTAAGACCTACGACGCGGTTGGCTCAACGACGCGCTTGTGAAAGAAAGAAATTTGTTATGCAAGACAAAAACTATCAATAATTCGTGGTCTCAGGGGTATTTTCAAAGGCTTTGTCGTGCTAAAAAACGTTAAACTAAGCATTATCACGACTTTCACGCAAGGTGAACGCTTATTGCGACCCTAAAGCCGTCTTAAAGTCGAAATTACAGCAAACACTGCATCGCTTTAGTCGAACTTGGCAGTTTTTAAGGTTATTTGAAAAATCTTCAAACATTTATTACAGTAATGCAATTGCTTAGGGCTCATTCTTGAACTGAAATTCAGACCGCGTCGTTGAGCTGGCGCGTCATAGATCTTGAGCTCTCTATTAGTGTTGTTTGTACAACCTCCCGTTTTTAGGTATCCAAATTATTCCATATTACAGAGTAATCATGTTACAGTAATCTATATAATGATTACTGCTATAAAAATAACGCAATGGTGTAAACGCGCCACATTTTCCTTGGCCATTAGACCAAGGCTTGTAGTGTAAACATGACTCATGAAATGTTGGGTGTTTAAGGCTGTTTGTTACCAACCATAGTCTTTCTGACTGCTATTACTCAGTACAATAGTGTATTACGGTTTTTAGGTACAGACTATACTGTCCAGTTCAACCCGCTGGACGTGCACGGGGTGTCGAACGTCATGTCGACGTTGAACCGCGCATTTCAACACTTATTTGACCGACTGACAAGTGATATGGCACCTCAGGATCAAGTTCGCTTGATCCTCAACTCAGATCAGCTGGACAAATCCATTTCCTTACCTTTCCTGCAACGCGATCGTCTAACCCCAGAACGTTTCCTGGCAGCTGTTGAACGTGTCGTACAGTCCAATGATCAATTTACTTTGGACGACTCTGTCAGCGTCAACGTGGTTCATGTCGAAATGCCTCAGGGTGGTACTGGGCGTAAACGTGATGTTGTAAACTTGGAAAGTTATTTGACGAAAAAACGAGGCATAGTTCAAATTAAGAACAAAGATGATCTCTGTTGTGCCCGCGCGATTGTGGTGGCCAAAGCAAAATTGGATAACGATCCGCAGTACAAGAGTATCGTTAAGCACGAAAGACCTTTTCAAACTCACTTAGCCCGAGAACTCCACGAGTCAGCGGGTGTTCCTCTTGGTCCCTGTGGCATCCCAGAAATCAAACAGTTCCAAGCTGCTCTTTCTGATTATCAACTCAACGTGGTCTCTAAAGAACATTTAAACGCTATGATTTATTCCGGTCCTGAATCAGACAAACACTTATATTTATACCATCATGACAACCATTACGACGTCATCACCAGTATGCCTGCCTTCCTTGCCCGTAAACAGTATTGTCATAAATGCAAGAAGGGCTACGACAAGATTACTGACCAACCGTGTGGCGATCTGTGCAAGCTGTGTCATACCCAGAACTGTCCCATCGTTGAATGGAAATTTTGCAAAGACTGTAACCGGTTCTTTAAAAGTGACGAATGCTTCAACCGCCATAAAGATGACGCTGGTCCTGCCAAATCCCTGTGTCATGCTTTAATTAAATGCAAGAAATGTAAACGTGTGGTTACTCGTGCCAGTCTTCGCGATCATCATTGTGGCAAAGTCAGATGTTCAACCTGTCAAAAGTACGTCAAGCCTGAAAACCATCAATGCTATCTTCAACCTGTAAAGGCGAAGAAGACACGATCCACTGAAGAACGAAACGATTTGCTCGATGATGATGTGGCCGTGGAAAACGACGTAGAAGACACCAAAAACTTAATGTTCTTTGACTTTGAGTGCACGCAAGACGATGGTAAACACGTCCCCAATCTCTGCGTAGTCCAGAACGAAAGCGGTGACGAGAAAGTCTTTTCTGGGCCAAACACGAAAGACGAGTTTTGCGAGTGGATGTTTCAGCAGGAAAACGCGAATACGACGTTTGTCGCACATAACTTTCAGGCTTACGACGGGTACTTTATTCTACAATACCTTTACAAGAATGGTGTCACTCCAGAAATCATTACCCGTGGCGCAAAAATCCTTTCCCTCACTGTCCCCGAAATGAACATCAAGTTTATTGATTCTCTCTGTTTCATCCCAATGAAACTCGCCGCCTTCCCGAAAACGTTTGGTCTCACAGAGCTTCAGAAAGGTTACTTCCCTCATTTCTTTAACCGTGCTGAGAACCAAGACTACGTTGGACCTCTTCCAGACTCGAAGTTCTACGATCCTGATGGCATGAGCAGCGATGACCGAGAAAAGTTTTATTCATGGTACAACGAGCAAGTCCGGCGTCAGTACGAGTTCGACTTTCAAGCCGAAATTCTTCGATATTGTCAATCCGATGTGGACATTTTGCGTCGCTGCTGTCTCGAGTTCCGCGAACTTTTCAGCCAAATCACAGATGTTGACCCTTTTGCCTCTTGTCTCACCATTGCCTCTGCTTGTAATCTCGTCTTCCGTAAAACGTTCTTCCAGGAGAACACCATCGCCGTCATTCCTCCTTGCGGATACAAGCCTGAAAACAAACAGTCCGTCATCGCCTCGAAGATGCTGGCCTGGGTCGCTCAACGTGATAACATCGCCATTCGTCACGCCCGGAACCACGGAGAACAGCGCATTGACAAGTATCTTGTCGATGGTTTCAACGTTGAGACAAACACTGTTTGGGAAATTCAAGGATGCCTGTGGCATGGATGCGAAAGGTGTTATGCCAGAGATACCGTGAATCCGATCAACCATATGACCATGCAAGATCTTAAGCAGCGAACCCTAGAGAAAATCCAATTCCTAAAGGACAACGGATACAATGTCGTAGAGATTTGGACGTGTGATATTGAGCGTCAACTTGCCACTGAACCCGAGATGAAGGACTTCTTCGACAATTTCGAGATTTCTGAACCTCTTGAACCTCGTCATGCATTCTTCGGTGGAAGGACTAACGCAACACGCCTATACTACGACGTCCAGCCAGAAGAGAAGATCCGCTATGTGGATTTCTGCAGCCTCTACCCATGGTATGTATCTTGTTGAAGTCCTTTAACTCAAACGTGTTTGCCGTTAACCTTCTTAAACATTTTTAGGTGTAACAAATACGGCGAGTATCCGATTGGCCATCCCAAGATTATTACTGAGAACTTTCAACCTATCAGTGACTACTTTGGTTTGGTGAAATGTTCTGTGCTTCCTCCTCGTGCCCTATACCACCCCGTCCTCCCTTACCGTACTCAGGGTAAATTGATGTTCCCGTTGTGTCGTACCTGTGCCGACAACCTT